CCCCCCCCCCCCCCCCCCCTCCTGATAATTATTGTACAGTCCCTTAGGACACCGTGGAAACTGGGAATAAGAATCGTTGCGTGATCGAAGCCACACATGATTTGCGAAGAAAGCTTAGGAAAGATTAAATTTAGAGCTTTTCCGAATTGTGTCGGTACTTTCATTGTACGCAAATGGTCTTGTGATGAGCATGCGGTATAATTTTCGGCGATGATTGAAATGACGTTCCATGTAAACAACTTTGTTTTATCTCCAGCAATGATGTAATTTCTCTGGAAGCGAGGCCCTTGAATTTTCGTGTATTTATACACGCGTATAGCGTGCGAACGCAGACGCATTTCCGGTCGTCGCTAACACGCGTACTAAATCAATTCAAAAACAAATGATAAGTATCTGATCGACATCGATAAAGAAGGAAGTAATTTTAAAACCTTTAGCGAGTAAATCCTGTTTCGTGTAGAATTAATCGCCTCCTCATTTCTCGATCTAATCTCAAATTAAGCAAGTCTGAAAGCCGCTCTAAGAGCGTTCTTGTTAACTTATAAAAACGCCTAGGGAATCAAATGAATCCGACCTGTCGTAAACTTGACTATGAACGCACACTTAATGTACCATAAGTTCTTTATTGTTTACGCGTTACTATTTCTTTTTACATTTTTTATATTCCACAAAAGGATAGCAATGAGTCTTGAGTACAAGAGCAACAAATATTAACAAGAAAAATATTAATCAACGGTAGAATCATATAAATTTCCCAATGTTCTTTAACAAAAGAATTCGACCTTTATGTATAACTTTTATCATATTGTTTTATAACTGCCGGTGTTTTTATTTAAGGAACACAACCACCGTAGTTTAAGGGAAATCCGTTAAACTCAGAAATGATCTCGTAAATGTTTGGTTAGTTTGCATGACTACTTAGTACGTGTTTATTGTAGTTCGAAGTTAAAACTAGAAACGTAAGCAACTCATGAAAATAATTATGAAAAGAAACTAAGTTAAGTATTCTTGGCTCAAAATGCAATTTTCAAGACCTACATAATGCACAACCAGAACCGAAACTAATGAGAAATCAAATGAACATAGCTACTAGGAAAAAGCATTAATTCTTCTATTTCCTTCATAATCAAAACATGCAAAAGTCATAACAGATTTACTAAGACCAAGAATTCAAAAAATACAAGAAATTGCTAAAAAACGCATTGAATTTGCTTAAGCATTGTACAGCTGCTACACGTACATCTACGTCAATCAAATCTTTCAATATATATCACAAAAAATCAATTATGTAATAAGGTTTTTGAAAATATTATTCATGAATTATATAACATGCACTATTTTATTATCGCATAGTACTGCGATTTTTTTGCTTCATACAAAGGAAGGAGTTTTTTTCCTCTTTTTTAACGGAGTAAACAATACACGACTTCGTGCATCGCATACTCAAAAGATTCATCAACACTCTCCATTGTACTTGCATTTTATGTTTTAGAGTTTGCATGAGTTAGCCACACTTTCAGTATCACCTAGTCCAGAACCATTAGGATACTGGGCACTTGCTTTTGGCACTAAGATTTCTGGGACAGCTCAGTGGTCATCATTACCTGCATTTACATGTTTTACATGGCCCAAGCGACTTCTTGCATGCTGATTGGTCAAAAGCTGTGGCACATGAGAGTTCAGACCATGGAAACCACGTGTGGTGGTGAAGTCTCACACACGATTTTCGAAGAACCTTTAACATAATTTTCCATGCTCTACTCTTTTATCAACCATAGCAATGACATCAAAGTGTTCAAAACTTTGCAGTGAAACCACTCGTTTGCAGCTTGTGGTTCCACTTTAGTTTTGAACATTTTGATGTCACTTCTATGGCCAAAAAGAGTACAGAGTAGGGAAAAAAAATTGTTGTTCATTTGTTAAAATGCCTGTGTCCATAGTCACTTGTTAACCAAACACGTTATTCGTACGGGCTATATCCATACTACCCAGGAAATCTCACTACCACGAACAGCCTTTCCGTTTTTCTTCCCAAAAAGTTTCTGAACTGGGAGACAATGAGTAATTTGGCCATGCAATAGAAGTACACTGCACCAAACTGAAATAGATACCTGTAGGAAAATCTTTGAATAGTGCTGGCATTAGATTTACTTCAACTTTTTTTTGTTTGATGTATTCCATTTCCTTGAAGAGCTCACCACACCAAAGTCAGTACACATATACATGTATTTCGTCTCTGATTCCCACTGATATTTTATCAGTGATAATCCACTCAGTATGTGAAACTTCGATAATTGCCCCAAGCTTGTTTCAATAAATACTTCATCATGGCTCCCAAAGCCATAAGCCTTCTTCATAACTTGAATTCTGAGTGACACCTGTTCACTTGACGCTGTTCAATCCTCTCCAATGGGAGGAATAAGTCCTTCACGACTATCATCACCCTTTGGTGTTACACTTTATCCATACCAGCTTGCATGAGCAGAAAAATAACCAGAAAAGTTCTTATTATCTTGTCATTATCCTGCCCATGCCAGCTGGCCTACATTAATCGTCACCAGTACAGTCTCTCATGTGATTCTCCAGCAAGTCGTGAGGGAACAATTTTTTGCAGTTGGGGCACTGAAGCTGACTGCCCTGGCTTAAGTAGCGTCTTGGAGCTGGCTTTGGGTTTTCTTTAAGAGGACTGGTTGGTGAATCTGTAAAATCATCTCCTGGTCCATCCGCACATGCCTCCATTCCATAACCCCTTGGCCTTAGTGCTGGTTGTTGCTGTTGTACTTGCGCTGCACAAGTGCGGGCAGCAGATGTTTGTCGCCTGTATGCTGCTTGAGCCTAAAGAAAAACACAAACAGGATTAAGTGAAATAGTTCTAGAACAAAAACATCTCTCAAGAATACATGTACACAAACTTTTAGTGTAATAAACAATGCATCAAATTCACAGGGTTTCTTTACCATGCCATAATTATCACATGGATTAATTCACCTTGAACAGAATTTACCTAAAATGACCAAAATATAATTTCAAATCAGGATTGGCTTAAATGCAACAAAATGTGCTATTACTGGCATCACCTCTTAAAGCTACTATAGTGTAAGTCTTAACAATAATGATTCTCTTTTGTGTGTCCAAAATCCGATAATGTACTTGTAATAGAATCTCTCACTGAACATGTACAATGTAATTTTTCATGGTCCACACAATGGCCAAGCACAAGTAAAAGAGAACTTATGAGTATAATTGATCACACAGTGAGTCATTGTATCTCACCTGCTGTTGTGCTTGAGCTTGTGAATACATGCGTTCAATGTTCTGCCTCAAGCCAATGTGCTCCTTCTTTAGCTGCTCATAGCTGTGAATGGCCTGATCCCGTTCTCGGATGATTTTCTGATGGTCTGACAATGCCTTGTTCTTTTCTTGCCGTTCCATCTTGAAGTCATTTTCATAACCTGAAAGCTACAAAAGACAGATATGATGTAGAGTGAGAAAAGCAGTGAACCTACAAGTATGATTAATTTCTACATAAAGAAAGAATATGTGCATGGAATGAAAGAACTACTACTACATGTAGTCCATCACAATTAATTTTTATACCCTATCACTGCTACCATAAAGTTTGTTAAAAATTGAGTTGACTTCTTGACATGACTGTCCGTGTACAGTGTACTTCCACTTGCTTTTCAGGCAAACAAAAAGAATGTATTAGAGAGTCTGAGCTAAAATTTGCAGAAAACCATAACTGGTTGTCAATGAAATTCTTGCCTTTTCTACACATGTAAGTTATCTTTAGGGGTAATGGCTTTCAGCCCAGCAGCAAACAAAGCTTATGTACAGCTAGATAATTTCAATATAATAAAGAAAAATAAAAAGGGAATACTTACTGCAGTTCGCATAAGTTCATGCTCCATCTGCAGCTCTTCAATCTGTTGCTGCTTCCCCTCACTTTCACGTGACAAGAGGGTAAGGTTGTTCTGCAGTTCTCGTAATTGCTGGAGAAGCCTTTCTCGCTCTTCATCATGCTAGGAGTCAAAACAAAGCATGAGTACAGTGTAGCTAGATGTGACACTCCCAGGATTCTTAGGGGCAAGAAACAAAAACCTAGCTTTTGAGTCTCCTGATGAAATCCTGTAGTGTGGTCATGTAAAATGAACCTTCATTAAAAGTGATTTTATATTGCAGTACAATTTTGTTTGTTTCCCTTTTACAGCTCTTTACAATTTTCTCAACATTGCTCACAACATCAAGACATGCCCAAACAATCTCCTGCAATTCAAATGCCCCTTTTCAATTAATAAGAAGTAAATGTCCCACCATTTCTTATTCCTATTGCTGTCTACTTAGTGTTCATGTATGTGAATTTTGGTACCATTGAAATAACAATCATTGCTGCAGTGAATGGAACTTAAAAGTCCTCCCGCAAATCTTGCACCTATCATACATGTAGCTGTACCATGCACATTTTCCTCAAAGACAAGTACAATGCAGTACGTCTGTGATTGAGTCTGGCCACGGATTTAATAGATTTGTCCAATTAGAAAGATGAAAGGATGTACCTGTACCAGGATGTCCTTTCAAGGAAGAAATAAAATTATACAAGTAGTATCTCCCTTTAGACACTTACCGACTGCTGCTGTGCATTATGAATTTCATTGACTTCCTTTAACACGGTTAATTCTTCGATTGTCTTAGCAAGTTCTTCTTTGAGGTGATTATTCTCTTCTATTTTTGTCTGTAATTCTTCTCTTACTTTGTTGTTTTCCTCTTTCAATCTGTTTACCTCTTGAGATGATGTAGATTCCTTCACAAAAAGGTAACATAACATACACGTAAGAATTAACAAAGAATAGTACATACTAATAACTACAGCTGTACATACATGAATAAGAATGATAACAACTGGAGAAGTGTTTTGTACAGCTACGTGTACAAGTCTAAAACTCTTCAAGTTTAATATATATATAACTTTTAAGGGAAAATACTGGTTGATTATAAAAAGAATTTGTTTTGCCCATAATCTCACAACATTTTGGTCTCATCTTGGTTTCCCACAGTTTAGGACCTACAGACTCTGAGGCAAGGGTTATAGCTCACAGTCTACTCCTGTAACTGTAGACACCCTAAGGACCACGAGTCAGTGTCCTTAATAGACTCAGTCTGGAATAGTGGGAGTTTGTTTAGGCTCAATTCTGTAAATCATCTTCACTGGGGATACACAGTGTAACTCATGTTTGTATGATTGGATTGTCCATAATCACATGTGTCTGCAAGGTGATAGTTACGCTGTCCTGAAAATAAAACCACAAAAAATTAATTTGCTACCTCAGAATTGCCGTCCTCGTTATCATACACTTGGTTCATGATTTGCCTGACTTCTGGCTGTGACCTTGCAAGGTCACCAAGTCCTTTCTTCAGATCTTGGACTCTTGTAATCTTTTCATCTTTGAGCGTCTGAAGTTCCGTCTTAAGAGTTTCATTTTCGGTGACTATAGTTTCGAGAAAACCTTGTTTGGCGTTGAGGTTCCTTTCAAGCTTTGTTGTTTGTGCTGTCAAACGCAAGACTTGATTTTGCAAAAACTCTGTATTTTGATCTCGAACAGCAGCCAATAAATTCTTGAGCTCATTAACCTCATTAATTTTCATGTCTCGTTCATCCCTAAGTGTCATAATTATTTCGTGAAGGTCTCTGTTTTCCTAAAGAAATTAAATGAGAGACAATTATTAAAATATATGCTTGTCAAATTTCTATGAATTCTAGGAGTAAAATTATATAATGAAATAAGATCATCCATCTGTTTAGCTGCCAAAAACATAATCCTTGAAAGGACGAAGGTCTCCAGTTTCACCCACTCTTAACAAAATTAAAGATAATTGACAAAAAAATATAATAATAATTGTGAAGTAGCATTATTGTAACTGTTGTAAATGTGTCGATAAATCTTAATGCACAGTACACTGTAAGCCCCGCAACAGAAATAATAATTGTATTTGTCCTCTTGAAATTAAAGAATAAATTATTCATTGTTTATGAAGAGAAATATTTGATGCAATGATGGAAAACTGCTTTGAAGTCTCAAGTTATGCTTCCTTCAGCATCTTCTCCCAGGATAAATGACACCTTTTTTGGTTTCAGTTTTACTAAACTTCCCGATTAAGCCATATACCAAACAAAGCTCATGTTTTCAGTTTCCAAGAGACGAAATGTTAATCTGACAGCAGTTTCACATTTTAATTGCATTAAGGGCGGCTTATAGCTTACCATCTCTTGCCAGTCTCAAAGCCATAAAAATAAAATGTAAAGAATGGTAGACCCAAGTCAAATTTAGAGGGATTTGTACGGCGTCATCAGAGCATATCTAGGCTAATATCTCAGAGACAATTGGCACCGAAATGCTAATTTTTGGCAAGTAGGCCTCTTGGATGTTGTTCTTTCAGCACTATGCTGACAAATCCAATAATTTCACAAATTTAATTTTTCACGACATCACTCTTTAGAACTCTATTTAAACCCTGTTTTTTTTTCCACGGAAGAACAACATAGTCTTCCAATACGTTGGTATTTAATAAATTAATCAAAAAAACTGCACAATACACTGCATGAAAGCTTTATGAATTAGGCAAATGTCTTGAAAAAGTGAGGAAGCTTGCACAATCGCGTCTCAACACGCATCTTGAAGCAATCTAAACTACGTGCTCTATTCAGTCTGACGTTATCTTTTTATGGACCAATCAGACCTCGAGAAGGTTGACGGGGAATCCCCTACCACGAAACAATTATTCCTTGTTGAAAATACTTTCGGTTTCCAAACGTCAAAAAACGCCACAAATTAAAATGCAAATCATGTTTTTATATTTACAGCTTCCTCATTTAAGAGCGCGAAAAGCCGAGAACTCCATTGTTGGCAGCAGACCGGAGCAAAAAACACCAAATTGAAAAACGCTTGCAGAAGCACTTTAAGAAATGCGTGCGCAAAATCAACAATTTGATATTCAAATGCCAAGGGAAAGGGAAAATTCCCGAATATTATAAAAAGCACTTACGATCCACACAAAAGAAAATGATCAAATTGCTTAATGCTTCGATTTTGAATCCACCAAAGAAAAAAAAAAGAGAGCTATATTTTTCTTGGCACTAAAATCTCCGAATAATGGAGCCAGAATACTTGTTGCCCGTTTTTTCGCTTTCTTTCCACGCCCGTAATCAAATGTTCCACGTAATTCTGACGATACTACATACTTACCACTGCTAAATCCACGCCATTTGGACCTCTGTTCGTTAAATGATCCAATGCTTGCCTTAATTTAGTGTTTTCCCTAGTAAGAGCCTCTAAGAGTTTCTTCGATACGCCAGGAGTAACAATGGCGCCTTGACCAGCGACCGTTTGTCCATTATTACCAGCTAGATGACTCAGTTGTGTTATTCTGTTTTCTGCTCTCGCTAGAGAACTTTCTAACCGTTCAATTCTTTCCAAAGCAGACCGTAGTTCTTGTTCTTTCTTTTGTAACTGAACTCCTAAATTTTGAACTCCCGTAATTTGTGACGCCATTTTCTTTCTTTCCGAAACCACCACCAACAACGTGCGACGGAGGCGATGATTTTCTGCCTCTAAAGACTCGAAACTGTCTTGTTCTGCCATTTGAAAACGTGAAGTTAATACAATTCAACAAACACTGCCGAGAGGCACTGTTATGTCCTCTGTGATACTGAGTACGTTGACCGCGAAAGCCAACGAACGCCTCTTTTATACACGACAGTCGGTCGACAGTCGGGGAAATTACCTTCTATTTCGGTCAGCGACTCCACCACCACCGGAGTCCCCGTGGACGGCCCCGCGGTAAATTCCCTTTTATTATTCCCCGTGGATGTCATTCGCCCGATAGGGGTCGAACCGACAAAGCGATCTCGCGGGAAATGCCATATATCATGACTGTTTGTTATTAACGGGTAACAATACCCATTCTTACTTCTACTCCTTTTTTACCTTCCAAGAATCACAAAAACACAAAAAAATGTTCCAAATTTTTACGGGGTCACCAGGAAAGGAGTCAACAAAACTTGCGCCCGCGCGGTTGAATGGCACGTCACGATTAGTTTGGGCGGTTAAACAGTTAACTGGTTATACTGGTTTGCGTGGATTCATTAGAGCCTTGACTAGTCCCTATTCCCCTAGCGGCTCTCAAAAAGAGGCTGGAATCGGAAGAATTAGCAGGTGACAAAACTTAGTCCAGTCAGACCCGGTTCCAATACGTGTAAGCTTGTGGTTATCATTGAAACATTTTACAGGTAAACTGGCAAAAAGAAAGCAAAATTTTATGAAGCTGTAAAACAAAAGCATTAGCAAAAGGAGGACCTAGAGCTGACAGGTGACGATTTCCACCACTGAACTCAGATTTAAGATTATCCTTTTGAGAAGATAACGTAAAAATAGATTATATTTTAATTTCAGAGAGCTTTTGTCATTCCATATCGGGGCTTTTAATTGCCCAATGCTGAGGAGCCGGCCCCGGTCTTGGTACAAATCTATTCTACGGCTGTCCGGCATTGTTATCGGTTTTTTCTATAACATTCGTTAAGCTAAGGCAAAAGTACTTAGCTATGCCTTTCCTTTTTCATGTTTCTGGTAGCCTGTTATTCTCAGACGCAATATTGCATTCTGTACACGTAAACATTTCTTGAGACTAACTTCTTCACAAGGCTATATGCGTCTTTCACTTTCTTGGGTGTTTCTTGTGGGTTAAATATTGTTTTGTTGCGTGGATATTGTGTGTTTTCAGTCTTTTGCATCACGCAATTTGGTGATTGTAGCCATCCGCAACTGACACCAAAAAAACTACCACTTCCCGGTGGTGTCCGTTATCGATCGTGGCCCAAACGCTGCCTCCTGATCTGAGGTACCTCTGAGGAAGCCACTCTAATCTTTATCTATGCATTTAACCCGAGGCGGCATCAGGAAGCTAAACAAGCATTCCCCGCCAGATGCCAATAGGTGCAAATTCTGCAAGGGATTCACCCTTGCAGATCACGATCTGATTTGGGTAATGTTTTAATTACGGATATATTGATTAAGTCTTAATTCCGAGAAACCTAATAACCTTACTGCTTTTATGGGTCCCAGAAAGAGTACCTCTAGGGAGTTTGACAAATATACTCAATCTCTTGTCGTACGATCTTCACGAGTGTCACACGTGTACAACAAGTGCGGTCTGGTTGACCTAGGAACTGAACACTCGGATAAACGAAAAGGCGAAATGTGACCTCTAAAAACAGGACTCGACAGGATCGAAGGCTTAATGTGAAACGAAAGCTCGGTGATGCAAATCTTTTCCCGTCCAGTTTGAACAAGGCGCTTTGATTTATTCAAGACCGAGGATACGATTCATTAGTTTTATAGAATAATCGGCATGAGTCTTTTAGTAACGTATCAGTGCTATTTAAATCGGCGGCCAAAAATGGGAAATTATTGAGTAATAATGCAAGGAATCCAGGCAAATGAAACGAATCTAAAACGTTGCCATATAAAGACCTCAAACCTACTCTCTGTCTTACGCAATTAGGACAGGGAGCTAAGCCAAATTGAAAACACAGTTTAAATAATACCCCAGGCGTGGTTCCGTTACTGCGCCATGACGATACTTCGACGATACTAGAGAGACTGTTTAAAGCTACTGGGATTTATATCAGAAGTATGAAAGCGTTCTTTTGGAAGATCAGACTGTGTATTACTGTGTACTGGGTGACATATCATTTGCCATCTGTGTTGGAATGAGTAAGGACATCTGAGGGACTCCTTGTTTCCCAAACCGATCCGCTTGCATGGGGTTGCCCTGCAAGATCCATTTTAATATGGGCTTTTGTGCGTGCTGTATGTAAGCGACAATTCGCAAGAAGCTAGACATCAATAGGTGCATGAGATGAGCACTTGTGCTAGGTGAAACTGGTAACTCCAGAGAGCCCTTTATCGGAAGAGGGTTTTAAGACGTCTTTATACATAATTATAATTTGCTCTTTAAACAAGCCAAACCTATTTCAAACCTTTTTTGCTTTCCGTCGTTATATGTAGTAACAAAAACCTAGTGACTGCTGACCAACGTTCTACCGTAGTTGGCATTGATCGACGTAGCCTGTTCCAAGCGTTCAGATAGTGGAGAGCGGTGCGAAGTAAAGAAAGCGGTGAAAAGTAAAGGGGGACTGGGGAGAGAGGTGCGGGAACGCTGTTCCTCCCTCGCTTTTATTTTTTCGCGCTCCTTTTTACTTCGCACCGCTCCCCACTATCTGAACGCCTGGAACAGGCTATGATCGCTGGTCACAACGTTTCCTCGGATTCGGTTTGCGCGCTTTGAGCTGCAGGGAACCGATCTGACTGAACGTGTTTTGTCCCTTATTTTGGTTCATGAAAAATACCGTGACCGATTGTCTCTGATTAAGATTTATCGGTTGATGTAATTAAGCTCCCATAAAAGTTGAGCGTGCGCGGAACGATGTTGTCGGCTTTAGATGAGACATTCTTAGCGGTACTGATCCTTAAATTACCACGGGAGGTAGGGTATATGGCCTAAACGGGGATGTGCCGCTGTACAGGGTATGCATGGTTTTTGACCTCTCTGTCTTAAACGGGGTATATACATAATTTCGTGTGAGTCTGTCAACAGGGTACGACTTTATTTGCTAGATGAATTTCATTTTTTTCACTCCAAGTATACAAAACCAATGGCTATAACGTGAATTTGCTCTATTACAATTGACAATAATTAAACAACTTTAAAACAAGATGGCGTGTATTTTGTCCTCTGCACTTAACAGGGTATTAAAATTGCGGAATGGCCAGGTGGCTGTATTTTAGGATTTTTTTTTTGTCCCAATCAGTCATGTTTTTTACTCTGCGAGCAGAGGTTTCTCTGTTTACGAAGTCGTTCGCGTGGCTAGTCTGTCGATCGCGTAGTCGGTTTCTTTAACTAAACCAACTACGCGACAGGTAGACAAGCAACGCGAACGACTTCGTAAACACTAAAAGTCATGCCAGATAGAAACCTCTGCTCGCAAGGTACGGGTTTTCAACTCACCTATACCCTAACATTTGTCGAGTACTCCCTCGGGTCCACCACAAGGTGCTAAGAGCTCCCTGGTCAATTTGTGTTTATTTGTTTACATTTCTTTGGGGAGAGGGGGAGTGGATTAACCCCCGAGTTCTTCAAATTTAAATCCTGACTTTGCAAAAAAGGATTTTGCAACTCAGCATGACGGACCATCGATCGTTCCGCATAGATAACAAGAGTTAAGAGATTCATCAAATTATGACCCCTTATCACGCTATTATTAGTTATGAACCTGTTATCGGCCAGTGGGCTGAATAGAATCGAAACTAAGCCAAATTAACACTTGCAAACTGTTACGAAATTCAAGCCCCAACTCGTACTCAGGTACCGTGATTTTATGAATATAATAATCACAGACAGAGGATCAACACAAGGGCTGGTGTCGTTCGATAGGTTTTAATTGAAGAACTACTTTTTTTTACCTGTGATAACAACATCAAACAGAACCGTACGTTATACTGTCCATGCAGGAGAGATACATCCAGATGCAGTTCTGCACGCGACCCGGAAATAACTCAGTTTCGAAGAGCTAAAGAAGCAGCCCCTATGGAGACCCATTCGTGTTTATGGAAAAAGATTCATGAACAAGCCTGTCCTTAAATATCAACCCACGCATTCTAAACATTCTCAGCTACTCCTTCACTTTGTAACAGTAAAGTAAGTTGAAAAAATTAAATTCTTCTTAAAATCATTATATCGAATTCTAGTCCACATGCGTCAACTGAAATACGCTCCCGATTTCTATCCGGTTGCAATATTAAATAATATGGTTGATACACGCACATGTACTTAATTAATCTGAAAATATTCTTGCTGCCTTTGTTGTTGCCGTATGATAATCTGGGTACGGGATTAGCCGTATGATAGACTACACATTTCGGCGACGCACATTCCTTAACATAATACTAATGGTTTTAATGAGTACCCCCTGTCTCGTAATGCTATTCTGAGACCATGGTTAGTTACCTTAAACACTTGCATGTCGTCAAGGGGTTATAGAAGACTTGAACTCAAAGACTACTGCAAATCCGAGGAAAAAAAAAAAAGTCTATTAGCTATTAAAGTTTTTAATCGGATAGCAAGACCCAGCCAACCTTCTCCAGGTTTACAGATGCTAGCCTGAGAAAAAAATTAAAAGAAGACATTTCGCGCCGTCATGACACTGGTTTCTCTGCCAAATGACGTCACCCGCAACTGAAACTATTCTCGGAGATCCAGGGACAGATCGTGGGAGCTAAACGGGAGGACAAAAAAATGCGCGAAGAAAAGTAGAGAATGGGGAGAAGAGACCCTGGTGACAACGTTTTACCGGACCAGTTCCAAACGGTCGGGGACGTTCTGGCTTCTGATTGGTGCCATAAAACTTTTGTGTTTTTTTGCCCATGAGAGGGCACCAGACCTTGGAGTCATTTCATGTGTTCTTATTTACACGCAAAGTATACGAAGTTCAGCTGTTTGGCTGTTCCGGGAGGCTTTATACACGAGGTGCGATTATCTCACCGGTAAATACGCTGGACCTTTCGCAGGTATCATAACAGTAGCC